TATCAACATCAATTAGTCCTTGAAGAACAGATGCAAAATATAATGGAACAACAACCTGACCTCTTAATTCTTGAAGCACACCATCCCCTTTAACACTGTCTGAAAGTACATCCAAACAAATTGAATAACAATGATTCAAATCTCGTATTTTAGTTAACCAATGAATGACTTTATCACTAAGTGGATTGTCTGCAACTTCAAAAATGATTGAATCAATAATTTTTTGACCAGTCAAACCTTGTTTACTGAGTTTCATTGCACACATTTCAATATTATGCATATCCAAATAATCGTCAATATATGATGGAGTGTATTTGATTAAAGTAGTAAACAATTCTTTAGCAATATTAATTAATTGTAATAATGTCAAGAAATGATCATTTATTCTAACACCTCTTTTTAAGATGAAATGAATTTCTTCTAAAAATGCAGTCATTTGAGATATTTCATTATTTGTTTTTAATGACTCTATTGATAATAAATTTAATGTTGGTAATAACCCAAAATGTGGAATAAAATAAGGTTTGGATGTTATTTTAGAATGTTTAAGAGTATCATCTTCAATTCCTTTAAGAAGTTGTTGATAAACTTCATTAAAATTGTTTGGAATATAATCTTCTTCATTATCAATTCCAAAAACCCCCTTAGATGGTTTGTTTGGTTTTCCATATTTTATTCCAGCAACAATTAATGAAAGTGCACAACGTGTCACTACAGCTGTTTCAGTATGTTTTAAAGCATCATTATCAACAAGTCTCATTACAGATGCTACCATTGTTGCTGTTTCAGACCATGTTTCTTGACTAAGTTTTGAGACTTCAAAATCTCTAACAGCATCAGCTTCAAGACATAATGAATCATATAAAACATTTCGTTAATAAATGGTTTAGAAGAAACAATAATACATTACGAAAATGAAAAGTAAAAATAATTTTTCTTATTGATTTTTTCGTTAATATTTCTTTCAAGAAAAGGTATTTTTAGTTGAATTTCATTAGATTTTTTTAAATTTTCAGAGCCAATAATTTTCAGATCTTTGTATGTACAAATGAGTTCTCAACAACAAGTTGACCATTTACTTCAAGAATCAGACAAATGTAAAGTAGAGACATTACCAAGAAGACCAACTCAGTCAATTCCAAACAAAAAAAAGATGAGTAAAGAAGGGTTTGAAAAGAAAAAAAAAATGACTTGTGAAACAAAAGAAAAAGCATGTGCTATGACAGTTGATTCAAATGATGAATGTGTTTCTCCAAGAAGACACCCTTTTTATGGAGGATCTCCTATGCCATGTATGATGATTGCAGAAGAATTGAACAAAAGAAATAAACGAGAACCTACCAAAAATGCTCTTATCAGAGAAAAATCAAAAGAAAAGTTAACTATGAAGAAATCTGAAACAACTGCCTCACAACACCAACTCCCTACTCCTGTTGGTGGCTTTAAAAAACCATCAGAAATAAAAAAAGCAACACCTTCTAAAACTACATCTACACAACACCCTCTTAAACCTTCACCTTATAATCAAAATAACACACCTCAAAGACCAGTCTCAATGTATTGCAAACCTCCTGGAAATGAATTAAAACGAGAGCGATCAGGAGCAAAACTAATGGCAGAACAAATAACACAAACACCAGCATTTAAAAGCAAACCTATTGTTTCAGAACATACTAAACCAAACCCAATCCTTCCTACACCAAAACAAATAAACTCAAATACTTCAGAACAAAAACCAAAGTGTGAGACAGAAAATGCTCCAATTATTTCAACAACCAAATCACCAAAAAAAAATAAGTCACTACCACAACCACCTATGGAAGTACTAGAAATGGAAGAAAAAACTAATTCTAAAGACCCTCAAAAAAAACCAAAACCATCTCTTCCTTCAAGAAAACAAAACCTTCCTCCAAAGAAGGAAAGTATAACAACAAAACCTCCTTCAACAAATGAACATAAACCAAAAGTTCCAGAAAAAAAAGAAGAACCTATTACAGATTTTAGAAGTGTTTTATTTAATGGAGGAAAATCATTAAAAGAAGGAGAAAAGAAAGAAGAAAACAAACCTCAACTTCCTGAAAAAAAACAGAGTCATGCTGAACCAATTAAAACAACAACTCAAAAACATGAAAGACAATCCCTTCCTTCAAACCCAGAAAAGAAAGAACGGTATAAACCAACTCTTCCAGCACGTAATACTCCTTCAATTGCTCAGCCATCTAAACCTTCAACACAACCAAAACAGAGTTGTTTGGATACTTCAAAACAAGAAAAGGAAGATAAGCCAACACCACCACCAAAGAAAGATAGTATAAAACCAAAAGTTCCAGAAAAAAAAGAAGAACCTATTACAGATTTTAGAAGTGTTTTATTTAATGGAGGAAAATCATTAAAAGAAGGAGAAAAGAAAGAAGAAACAAAAGAAATAACATCTATCAAACCAACAACACCTCCTAAAAATAAAACTGTTGGATCACCAACTCAATCACCACAATCAAAACAGTCAACAAAATCACCACTCCCAAAGAAAGAATTTAAAAAAGAAGAAGAGCCAATCACTGATTTTAGAAGTGTTTTATTTAATGGGGGAAAATCATTAATGCATGATAATTAACAAGAATTGTTTATCTTTTTTTTTTCTTTTAAATTTTCTATTATAAATAATTTATAAAATGATAAAACAACCAATTATTACTTTCCACTTAATTGTTGAGCCTGTTGTTCATTCTCTCTGGTTTGCATATCCAAATTATATTTTGAAACAATGAAAGCATCAATAATTTTATGGAACTCTGCCATATCTCCAGCAAGTTCTTCTTCAAAACTTGCTTGTTTAATTCCAATAATATTAACAATAACTTTCATTCGTTTAATAACTGATTTAAGCATATTTACTTCTTTCACTTGTAAATTGTTAGAGATAGTATTAATCCTTGCAATTTTCTTTTCTAAATCATTAGCTCTATCAACACTTAAGAAATATTCTTTAGCATTAATTAATTTTTGACTTTCTTTACTCATGTCAAGTAATGTTTTCTTTATAGCAATTTTCTTATATAGTTCATTTAAAATTTTATTAATTCTTTCTTTCTTCATTCTCATTTCAACTCGTTGAACTTTAAATTGTTGTTGTCTAACTTTTTGATAATTAAGTAATCTATTTTCAAGCACTTTAATTTTAATTAATAATTCTTTTTTATGTCCATTAACAATAATTAGTCTTTGTTTTAATTTTTCACTAGTATTTGTTCTCATAGCATTTTTAATTCTAATAATTCTGTTAAACACTCTTTGTAATTCTTTAACATTAACAGATAATCTTTTAAAAGCTTTCTTTTCTGCTTTAATTCGTTTATTTTCATAATATTGTTTTTCTTCTGCTTTAAAAGTACTTACAACAACATCTTTTTTTCTTCTAATTTCAGCTAATTTTCTTTTTATTTCAATAACTTTTTCTTTTGCTTCATTAACAAGATTTTTTTGTTCACGAATAATTTCTTGACTAACCTTCTTTGTTTTTGATTGATTTAATTTAACCTTCATTTGTTTTAATTCATAACGTGCATCTTTTATTTGTTGAAGAAGATTTGATCTATCTTGTTTGAGTTGATTAAGTTTAGAGTAAAATTCTTGTTTAGCAGCTGAAAGTTTAGGTGAATCAACAAAGAGTTCTTCTTCTCTTTCAATTACATCTTTTACACTTTCACCTAAAAATGAAATACGTTCTTTAAATTGTTCCATTTGACTTTGTAATTTAGGAAGATGTTGTTTTGTTGCATTTTGCATTTGTTCTTTTAATACAACAACTTTACTTTCAAGAATACTTTTTTGTTGAGCAAAACGTTTTTTATCTGATGCTAATTGATTTGCTTCTTTAAGTAATTTTTTCTTTTGAGTTAATAAACGTTTTGTATTATCATTTTCTCTTCTAATTTTTTCTTCTACTCTAAACATTCGATGTTTTAATCTAAAGAGTTGATTCATAATTCTTCGTTGATTTTTCTTCATTAATTTTAATATACCTTCAGCTTTAGTGTATTTCTCTTTCATTGATAGAAGTATATTTTCATATGAAACTTTCTTTTTTCTTAATTGTGAAATAATGGTTTGACTTACTCTTTTATCAGGTTCACTAGCAGCTTTTTGTGCTTTAATTTTTAATTTATATATTTGATTTGCCATTTGTTTTAAATTTATTTTAGCTTTCTTTGTTTCTTTTTCTGCAACACGCAATTCAACTACTTGTTCTTTCATTTTATTTATTTCATTGGCCATCATTTGTTTCTTTTTATTTAATTCATTTTGTAAGTTATTCATTCGATTCTTTAATTCAGCAATTCGTTTCCCATGTTTACTTTTTACTTCTGTCATTTTTTCTGTAATTTGTTTGATGTAAGAGTGATACTGTTTATCATTATTACTAACTGTCTCAATTGCATTTGAAACTACAAATACTAAAAGTATTAAGACCAACTTCATAATATTATAATTTTTCAGTTTCTTTTATTTTTATTTTTATTTTTTTTTTATTTTTTGACTTTTATTTCTTTTTCTTTATCTTTTTCTTCTTTTCCCTTCGTTTTTCTTGTATATTATTTCTCTTATTAATTTTCTTTTATTAAAATAACAAAAAATTTTAATATTTTGTTTTTCAAAAAAAACTTAAAAATTCATTTGATGCAACAACCACCTCAAACTGGAACGAAATTTGCGACAGAAAAAGATGTTAAACAAGCACTTGATTGTATTGATAAACAACAATTACTTAGTGCTATAGAAGAAGTAAAAGTTTGTATTTTAAATAATCTTTGTATTAATATTACTCAAATACTGATTAATAGAAACTTGTTCAAACTGATCGTAAAAAGGCAAAAACAATTCTTTCAGAAAATCCATCATTAGCATATGGGATTCTTGAAGCTTTACATACAATGCAAATGATTGATAAACAAACCTATGACGCACTAACAGGGAATAATCAATGAATGTTTTTCTTAAATTAATCTTTTATTTTATTTTTTTTTAATAAGAAAAGTCAAAAATTTTGAGACATCTTTTGTTGAAAAAAGAATATTACTCTTTTAAACAGAAAAGATTCAATCTCATTATGAAATTGACAAATCTAAAGTAAAAGATAGTACTATTTAAACATTTTATGAACAAAAAGAAATCATTCATTAGTTATGTTCATTATTATAATCCTTCTTTGTTTTAATACCATGGGAAAAGAAAGTTTTATCTTTACTGATGGTAAAATGAATGATGGATGGCATATTGATACTGAATATTTGTCACCTACTTTAGTTTTTATTAATGACACTAGTTATTACAAAGGAAATATTAAAAAAAATGTTCAATTTATTAATGAAAAACCAATAAATACTCAATTAAAAACTATTCAATTTGTCTTGTACTATGAAAGTACAAATACAAGTGAAATACCAATTATAATTACTGTTAAAGGTAATACTTTAAAAACTGGTAGACGTACACACACTTCACAAATTAAAGTAATTCCAAATACTGAAAATAACGTAGTTGTTCCAATTACTAGTTCATCTATTCAAAATATAACAATTTCAGTTAATGAGGATGTAGCTAAAGGAGATTTTGTTGCTTATGTTGGAGATGTTAAATTATCAGATTCAACTACCTTTGTTCCTGTTAGACTTGCAGAAACATCATTATCAACCCAAAGTGATAATGATCAATTAATTATTTTCAATCCAATTGAATGGAAGTGTGACAATGGAATATCAGGTATGCTTGTTTTAACCATTTTCACAATTTTAATGGTTCTTCTTTAAATAATTGAAATTTTCTTTTTATTTTAAAAAGAGATTTTTACAAGGATAAAAAAAAATAAAAAAAGAAAAATATACGAACAATACGATTAGAGAACAAAGATGTCCGTGTTTTTTAGAAGAGAGAACATCCACCACTCTTCTTCTTTGGTTTAGTTTGGTTCATAGCATTAATTCTTTTAATAAGAGTAGTGAAAATGTCTGAAATCCTAATTTCAGCTTTAGCAGAAACTTCAAGGAACTCAGCTCCATATTTATCTGCAAGAGCTTTTCCATCATCTTGTGAAACAATTCTTTGACTCTCAAGATCACATTTATTACCAACAACAATAATTGGAACATTTTCTGTGTCTCTAACTCTAACAATTTGGTCATGAATTGGATCAAGATCATTATAAGTAGATTGTGCAATAATGGAATAAACAAGAACAAATCCTTGTCCAGTTTTCATATATAAATCTCTCATAGCAGTAAATTGTTCAGTACCGGCAGTATCTAAAATTTCAAGGACATATTGTTGTCCATCCAAATCTAATTGTTTACGATAAGAATCTTCAATTGTTGGATCATATTTAACTAAGAAAATGCCTTGTACAAATCTAACTGTAATTGATGACTTTCCAACAGCACCACTTCCTAATACTACAATTTTGTAGTCTTTCACTGGCATCCCAAAGAATGATTTGATTTTTCAGTTCTTTAAACTATTTAAATATTTATTTTTAACTTGACTTTTAATTGCAACCTACTTTAATTTTATTTTTAAATTATTTTTTTTTCTTTTTTTTTTCTTTATTTCTTTTTCTTTTTGGTTACCACGTGATTTTGTCGTGTTTTCATTATATCAATTATTTGTTTTTTAAGAAAAGTTTTTTTGTCTGTTTTTGTCTAAATCAAATTTGAGAAAAAAGAATGAATTAGAAAACCCTTAATTATATTTTTACTTTTTTATTGTTTTGTTTCCCTGGTTTTTTGTATGAAATCTAATGAATTTTAGAGAAAAACCATTTTAGAGTTTTTTTAGAATTAACAATCACTTTTTTAGTTTTCGTTTTTCAAGACAATGGTAATTCAGAAAAATAACAATAATAAATAACAAAAAAGAATAGTATGGTTAAAAAAGAATAAACGACATGAAAGTAAATAGAACTAAAAAAAGGAACTCTAAAGGGTTTGAGAAGTGAAAATGGCTGAATCAACCACAACTAATCCACGAGTATTAAAATATAGAGCTGCTAATAAGGCACGAAAAGAAGCCAAATCTAGTAAAGTTGGAAATAAGAAACCAAGTAAAGAAATTAAAGCAAAAGAAATGGCACCAATTACTCGTGAAATGACTATTCATATGCATAAATATCTTCATAAAGAATCATTTAAGAAGAGAGCACCAAAAGCCATTAAAATTATTAGATTCCTTGCAATTAAAACTATGAAAACACATAATGTTAAATTTGATATGGGATTAAATCAATTTATTTGGAGTCAAGGTATTAGATCAGTTGCTGATAGAATTAGAGTTAGAATGGCAAGACTTCCAATGGAAGGTGAAGAAGGTAAATTTTATACTCTCGTTTCATACGTCCCAGTAGCTAGTTTTAAAGGACTTGTCACAAAAACAGTAGAAGAAACAGAAAATTAAGTGAAATGTTTTAGGACTTTTAAACAACAATTTCTTTACATTTAAAGAAAATAAAAAGAAAAAAAGAGAAAATAAATTTAAATTAAATGAGAGAAGCAAATTGAGCTAATACTGTTTTAGGGACTAAAGTATTTTCAATTCCATCTAATCCATGACGATCAATACAAGAAGTATTATTAATAATTAAATTTTCTAAATGAGTAGGTAATTCTATTGTAATTTTTTCATCAAAACGAGCTTCATTAATAAATAAATCAGAAAGATAATTTAATGAACGAAGTTTAATAATTTTATTATTTCCAACATGAGCAATAAAGTTATTTCCTTGAATTTCAATTTTATAAGGAAAATACTCTTTTAATAATTTTGAAAATTGAGTATCAAATACCATTTGGTTAGAAACTTGAAGATAATAATCTGTATAAAATAATAATATAACTCCTTTCTTTAAATAAATATCATGGAATTTACCTAATCCATTTGTAAAAATACCAACATTTATTACATTAGATACTTGTTGTATTGTTGGAATATCTTCATCTCTTAACCAATTTAATCTAAATATAATTGTTGTACGTTCTGAATTCATTCCTTTTACTAATGACCATAAATATTCAAGATGTTGTGTATCACAATCAATAATTACTTTATGTAAATGTCTTAATTTCTTTAGTCCTGTTATAAAATTTATTATTATTTCTTTTGAAAGTTGTTTTGTTACTCTAATTCTTATTTCTCTTAAATTAATTAATGTAGTTATATCTAAATTCTCTTTAAATGAAAGATCAATTCTATAACTAACTATTTTCTCTTTAATTCCATTTAAATTTTTATATTTATTAGCACTTGGTTGATTTAAAAAGAATGGTATTTCAAATAATTTATATCTTTCTACTACTTTATTGAATATTATCCTTTCTGAATTTATTCAATTAAAACAAACATTTATTTAATTCTATTTTCTCTAATGAATTGATGTCAATATGAAGTGTTTCTAATCCTCTAAATATTTTCATTTCTTTATTTAAATTATTAAGTCGTGAATCTAATAACATAGTTTCTAATGATCTTTCTTTATAACATGGATTAATTTTTGTTCTTCCAATAGCATCATCACAACTATGACACACTTGATGAAAATTAAATAATGTCTGAATTGAATCTAAGTATTGAATCACTAACATTAAATATACTGTCTCTAACTTTGTTGGTGGTTTTTCCTATTAAAATGAGAATATCTTCTTTCTTCCTTTTTTGTTCTTCAAACAAACCATTTAAATCTCTTTTATGTCGATCTCGTTTTCTATTTTCTCTCTTTTCTTATTTGTTTTCTTTTTTATAATCTCATTCCTTTCTCTTTTTTAATTTTTTTTTTAATTTTTTTTTTATTCAAATTCAAAGATAATAACAATTTGTGTTAAATATTGATATTTTTATTTATTAAAAAACATTACAAAAATTAAATTGTATTTCTAAACTTATTCTTTTCAATTAATTTTCAATGTAAAAGAAGAAGTTTTAAATATATCATCATCATTTTTTATACAATTCTTACATTTATCACTTATTTAACTTCATTATTACACTATTTCTAATTCTAAGAGAAATAACAAAAAAAAACCTAATTTTTAAGAATTTCTAATATTCATTAATTTTATGGTTGTTGAATGTTTTTTTTTTAAATAAGTTTCAAAATTAGAACTAATAATTAAAAGTTGTTCAAATGTTACAACCATATTTCATTGTTACTTGGATTTGTGGTATTTTCTTATCAGGAGTAGAACTTGTTATTGTATTGTTTCATTGTCTTTGTATTGTAGATATTCAAACTGATCAATTATCTCCAGTAGATTTTTGTAAAAGAGTT